GACTTCTGTCTGATGTGATTCTCTTAGATACTCAGCGTATGGGAAAAGCTATTGTCAGAATGAACATTTTGTCTGCAAACAATTTTGCATTATGAATTACACATGAGTTGCCATGTCCTTTTACCCATGGTCAAACACTGCATGTATGAATACTGATAGCAGTTCAGTAATGTGTCGAAGCAATAGAAGATTGTAAACACAGCACGTGAATATAAATTAACACAAGAAAGGCCACAATATAAACACATTCTCCATTATTTTCTCTCTCCTTCTGTATCTCTCCTTTATGGACACTGTGCGTTATCTGTAAGTGTTAAGCTGCATGCTTTATAAAGGCATTTCACACTTCTTGCTGGCACTAACTGTAACACAATTCTGCGTAGTAACTGCTAAAAGGCCATGTAATTTAATTAATTCTAGATGCTGAGAGAAAAAAAAAAGTAGTTTGATGGGAGTACACAGGATGTGTTCTAGCTTATTTTGTATTTACTTTTTGGCAATTTTGTAATTGTTGGTCTTTGTACATCTGTCAGATGAACATTACCGGCCATTACATCAAATCTCACAGAGTTTTTTTTTTTTTTAGCACCTCACACCAGGGTAAAACTGGGTAAAGTTAGTTTTGTTTGTATATTTATAAATAGAGAAGCATGCATATAAATGTGTGTTACATATGTTCTATGTTTACATAATTATATATGGAAGAGCAAATTTAGTGTTAATGTTGGGCAGCAACAGTAATAATATATCTAAAAATGTGCATGTGCCTCCATATGTCAGTTCCAGCTGATCTAGATATTTAATGCAACACATCCTGTGTGAACAAGACGAACACCATAAAAAGTAATCTTGCTAGAGAATTTTTAAAAGTATAGTTCACCCAAAAATCACAATTCTGTCATCGTTTATTTACGTTCATGTTTCTCTCACTGTGCAACACGAAAGAAAAATCTCTGTTTCTATATACAATGAAAGTAAATGTGACAAGATGTTTCTTTTTGGGTGAACTATTCCTTTAAGAAGACATTACCATCTAGGTATGATCCTTGTGCCTCATAAAAATCTGTCAAAGGAGCCAGAGGGCAGCTTTTGTTGGTTAAATCAGTGTAGAAATCTATGACAAGAGATAGAGAGAAAGTGACAGAACGAATAAGCAATGCGGTTTGAGCCTGTAGCAGGTCTACCATGATCAAATCCTCAAACAAATCATCAAATTCCCATTAGCCTCTGGAAGGATGAGGCAGCGCATGTACAGCAGCAGCAGCAGTCAGTCAGTGCAGCTCCAGTGGGAGAGAGAGACACACTCAGAGCCAGAGCAGAGAGCAACATGCTGCGCAAGGACCCGCCTTCGCTTGGCAGGAGTTGGCGCTCCTAACAGAATCAAAGGCTGCTTTTCTTCCCATTGAGACACATGGACTCAGAGGTCAGACTGCCTTTCTTGGACCAAGATGGAGAAAAACTGAATAAATGGGCTTTGTGAGACAATGGGTTATTGCTGTGTGGGCAGGCATTTGTAGCACTGTGGCCTCTCATTTTGACGAAATAAAAAGGGAGCGAGTGATGCTGTGCTTCGACTGCCACGATAAAAGTAAATACTTTACCCTTCTTTGTTGATAGGGCGGGCTTCCTGTCTGTGCCACACCGTGTAAACATTTACATGTACTGTGAACTTGAGATGTGGCTGCCTGGAAATAAATATGCAATGCTTTACAAACAAGTCTGTCATATCATAAGCCACAGACGGAGTTACATTTTATAAAGTATTAAAAAAAAAAGATTTGAGTAAACAACAGTGTTAAAAAAGCAGCGATTAAAAAGCATTCCATTAGGGAAAGACAGCAAACTCAAAATGTATTTAATAGAGTGGTGAAACTTTTCCAGAAAGCAAGGGAAAAGGAGAGAAGATTCCCGTGGGATACTTTGGCCTCATATGGGACCTGTCAATCAAAAGCTTGTATGAAACCTCGAGAGGCCTGATCAGAATAGACGGAGGTGAGGTAAGAAAACTTACTTTCCCACAGTCATCAAAATCTGAATATTTACATTCACAAATAAATACTAACAAACAAATAAACAAATAAACAGAAAGGCTTGAAAAAATATTTAAAAAAAAATTTTTTTTTTTGGTTAAAAAAATCTTTATTAGTTACATTTAGAATTATATTTAACTTAATGTCTTTCCTTGATTTAAACATGCACTTTTTCAAAGCAAGGTTTTTATGCAATCTACATTAAAAAAAAATTAACACCTAAAATGGTGTTAATCTAGTTCAGTTTGGCTCAAATTTAAGGATTTTTTTCTCAATATTAAGAGTATTATATACAGAGGAACTAGTGTACACTATATTATTCACTTCTCATGCTTGTTACACAGCTCCATTGTAACAGGGAATCGATCCAAGAAAAAGATCAGATAGAGAGAAGGAGAGTTAAATTGCTGAACGATTAATTTTCATCAGCAACCAGTCTCACCGACGGGACTTAATCCAAAACTAAGCCGATTAACAAACTGATATTTGTGTTCCTATTCCCCACAAGTCTTGCTACTGGCACGGCTCCTAAATGTCATGGAAGAAACTGATTTAAATTCACAGCCATCTTCAGACAGACTGAAGCGATAATCGATACAGACCACAATGATGAGTAATACAGCCAATTAAACAACAGCACACTGCAGTGGTCAGATCTCTCATCATCATAATCATCATCATAATCATTAAGCCTTTCATTAACTCTGCAATCAACAGAAGGACACACTTCAAGATTTGCACATATTACAACCTGCAACTGATGAGAAACAGCAACTACCGAAAATGAACATATGATTGACCAAAACAAGAGTACATGATTTTAATTATATATATATATATATTTAACATTAAATATTGTATTTATCCATACTATTCAACTATGTATTTATGCAATTATAGACTGTTTTTAGACTTACTTATACTTTATTATATTTGGGTATAGTTAAAACTGACATGCTTCAGTTTATAGGCTAAAACTCTCATGCATATGAAAATTATATGTCATATGCCAAACTTCTTTTAATCACTTTTAATTATATTTTTACCTTCACGTGTTCTTTTAAAATGCAGCCTTGTCGTGACATGTCAAACCACTACAGAACATTTTGAACTACCCAACAATTGTTCAGTGTAAAACAATTTCAGTTAAAATGGTTGTTGTTTTTGTTAAGGTTAATGTTAATGTTCTTCACACCTGCACCTTCAAAACAGTTCTTCTGAAACTTAAAAAGACTTTTCAACACAAAAGAGTTTCTGCTACTGTTGCAAGCAAAAGAAAACAATCCGGAGCTATACACTATACCATTTCTTTTCGAAATAAATGTGTTATTTATTTACTTTTAACTACTGTAACGTTGCAGAATATCCTACAATGGTGTTTTTGTTGTTGTTTTACCTGTAAACCCATTAAAATCGCTCTCCCTTCAGGCTTTTTAATTTATTTAATCTAAAATAACAATTGGATGATCAGCATCTTGTCTCCTCCGGCAGCGCAGCGGAGCGCAGGAGCGCGTGCCTTTGCCAATGACACTGAGATCAGTAACGAACCATAAGACCTGATTAGTTCGTGCTCTTTACCTGCTTTCGATTAGTCATCTGAAATGGCTTGATTTTACCCGCTCGTTAATATTCAGTGTGTCTAATCGTAAAAAAAATAACTGATTAGAGGTGAAAACGAACAACGCAAACCGCGCATAAAGACACAAGAGAATCCTTTTAAATAGTTTCAAGGTTTTCAAATTCATCAAATGGCGTATAAAGTTTTCTTGGATTCATTTAATGAGGTCAGTTCAGCTCGACTGTGATAGAGGATCGGTGGCTAGAGCATCATTTATACTACTAAATCGATATTGAGGTTTCATATATTGATGAATTTACCTATTGTGGATGGATCTACGTTTGAAAATTAAATCACGATGACTATTTATCAATGGATGTGCTTGCGTGTGTGTGTGTGTGTTTGTGAGTGTGAGTGTGTGAGAGCGAGAGAGAGAGTGTGTATGCATTTTATTTTATATTACTGCATCTATTGTTTTAATAACACTGTTTTTAACGTCATATTATATATTGGATTTTAGATTATTTGCATGCATATACATAAGAAAAACTATAATGCCAATAAAGTACAGAGAGAGAGAGAGATTTGTGATTCAGACTATCTCGGTTCATATACTACCACCATGTGGAGATCTGAACACCACATTGGTGTGTGTTCAGTTTATTCTAAAGTCATAAAACATATTTTCCTATAAAGCTGTTTACCTTTCAAACACAGGGAGTCCGTTTAGTTGAGTAAACTTTTCAATAAAAACACATTCGAAACAGACCATAAGTTCCCACTAAAATGACACAATAAAACAGCTTACATAAAACAGTGTTTTTGCATGTCTACATTGAAAAATGTAAAGGGTAAGAAATGAAATATGGTGCATCTGATTGCACGCTGACATTTCAAGTTTACGTTTTCTTTTCAGCCCCCGAAAAGTCAACTATAAAGCAGTCACACGCACCAGAGGTTCGACTCAAGGCAACAGAAGTGACTTTTCACATGCATGGGAAGCAATGACCACTCAAACTCTTTCTCAAACAGTGTACGGGCTGAGAATGACAAAACAAACGTCCAGTGAGACTTGAATGCCCCTTTCAGTGCCACTTCAACAGTGCCATTCTGCGCTATCAGTGCCACTGCTCCAACTGTATGCCAGCCTATTTCACACCAGCGCACATAGAGACTCTATGCATGAAATCTATGCATCATTGTGGTGGTGAATGAAAGGCACTCATTTACCATCACAATAACGCACGTATGCTTCAGGATTTTATTGTTAAGAGAGATTAACAGGCACCAAAATGGTTCCTCGCACCAGAGGATGGGTACTGCGAGAAGCTTCCACAAAAAGTAAGCAGAGGTGCGTGCACGAGACGCATAAACACCTTTGCGCACGAGACGATGGTCAGTCGTTTACTCACCTTGCTGCGAGTCGCTCAGACGGACCGCCACAGAAGTGAGAAGAAACCCGAGGCAACACAGAGAAGATGCCAGCTTCATGTTTGAAGTTGCCCGTGTATTTCACATGTCCAACACCATATCCTTTTATTTTAAATGTCTTAAGACAGGAACGCAACTGCGGTGGAGTGACTTCTTAAGTGCTGCTGTTGCGTGTCAGAGTAAATAACGTAAAAAGACGTCCCGTTTAAATGGTAAAATAGTCCTCAGGAAAGTGTAAAAGTTCAGGTGCGAGAAATTCGCTGTATAGTGCTTTGACGGGATCTCGACGCAAGGCTCATGCCATTACTCTCTTCAGACGCTCTTCAGCGCTGCGAGCATACGTTTTTGATTGGCTCAAGAGGCGCTCGCTTCTAAATACACCTGTCTTGTTCTGCATACGGCGTCTTCTTTAACAGGGCGTTTGTTCAAATTTCAGGAGGTTTAAAAACACTTCCTATCATGAATTGTCAGAGAACGCATGACGTCGTTATTTCGAATAAAGCTCATACAGAATTTGTGTGTAGTACACTTTAAAAAATATCAAAAAGTATAGTACTTCCACGGGTTACCATCACAGCACCATGGTACCACCTCAGACTTTTTTGTAAAAGTGGATTACAGAAAGCTATGTGCGTATAAAACACACGATTTCTTAATTTCTGAATATGGTATAGACCATACAAACTTGATGTTCGTAAATCTTTTAATGTCAGGCTTCAATGAATCTACATTCTTTTTCCATTACTTTTTTTGGATTACTGTACTGATTTTTATAAAAATCACAATGTATAGTCCTTGCACTCAAAAAGAGCAAATATCTACTTAATTAAATATTTTAGTGCCGAACTTAAGCATAATCATACATAGGACTACAGAAGTTTCCCTGACTTTTAAAGATTTAATGACTCCTCAAGAGCTGGAAATAACAATCTTGCTATCAAAGACGAGGACAGTCAGATGCAATAATACAGTAAAACATCTGGTATGCTTCACACACACCCTCATATAAACTGGTTACACAGCCACACTTCTCAAGAACAAAAGAAAGACACAATACCAAAGTTTGGATAATCTATTATTTTGCTTTTGACTAAAACTGCAAATGTTTTAGTGCTCCTAAATATAAATTTGTTAATATTACATATCTACGAAGGTTTGTACAAAACTGAAACATTATATCTAGTCCACAAATGTATACATACACATCATAAAAATGTGTGTGTGTGTACGTATAACACGCAGTGCGTGTATGTCTATATATATATATATATATATGTATACATATATACACATACATACAGGTTCATATAGATAGAATTAAATATTAACCAAAAAGCTCATTAATTATAATGAATATATATATATATGCTGATTTTATCAATTTTATATAATCACGCTGTGTGGTGATTACAAGAAACCAGGAACTGGTCGACCTAAAATATCTTATGCACTTTCATTTTCACTGCACCCTTATTCCTGTAAACTCTTTTCATACTTTTCTGTAAATGCTTTTCACATTTCTGATGGAGTCAGTTTGACAGTTCATTCTGCTGGTGTGTGGCGTAGCTGCATAGTTACTGTAGTTCTGACCCTTCACCACAGGAGGGAGTCCTAACCACACCTCTGGGGTTACCGAGGGTCAGAGCCAGCAGGAGATCAAGCTGTTTCCACCCAAGCATCCAGCCCAGCAAATGACATTGGCTTTTTCTCCTTCTTATCATTATATGTTGACGACAAGCTCTTTTAAAGAAGTAACTAAGTTTTTAAAACACCGGCTGTCACTTAACAAGACACTTTCCTGTTCTTATTTGTCAGCTCAAGCCCAAACAACACAATTAAGCGACAAAATATTCGAATGGGCTTTTTTGTTTCTTTAATAAATCTCTCAGAATGGTATGTATGACAATATCTTCCAGATGCTCTCAATCGCATAATTCATTCTCCGGATTAGGAGAGTGAATAGCAGAGGTTCCGCTGGTTGGCAAAAACACCCTTGATGTCGGGTGTAGAGCTTATCTAATACATGACTCCATGATTTGTTTAATGGATGAGAGTTAGCTGTGCAAGGACCGCCAATAAAACCTGAGCCTCCAGAGGCCCTTCAGTGCATAATGATTCCAGACACAATATCCAAGTAATGAAGCGGCTTTATCAAACTAGGCAGAGCTTATTTCCACCCAGTGTCCTTCTCTCCCCTGCTATCTCCCATTACACTTCCTGCATTCAAACGGCATCGACGCTCAACAGCCTGCCACAAAAGACCAACAGCAGCGTGCACCAGAGAATTGGGCTAGTTAATTTCGGGAAAAACTTAAATGATTTACATTCTGGAAATACTATTTCCTGACAGACCATCAGAATCACTAGAGATTATATCAGACTGTATTATGGCTACATGGTTCAGGTACAAACTGAACTGAAATAATAACACAGGTGTTAGTTATAAAAGCAAAAAAAGCAGTCCTATTAAAGTATCAATCTATGTAAAAACTCATTGCATCACATAAAACATCATGTCCTTTAAATATAGGCTGCACATGAAGCGGGGTTATCTTATCGAGTAAACTCCATATAGAAATATGTATGCATTTAATTTCCTGTCTGAACAAACATTTCACTCTTTAAAGGAATAGTTCACCCAAAAAATTTAATTTACTGAAATTTAACTCACCCTCAGGCCATTCAAGATGAGTTTTTTTTTCTTTATCGAAACAGATTTCAAGAAATTTAGCATTACATCACTTTGCTCACCAATTGATCCTCTACAGTGAATGGGTGCCGTCAAAATGAGAGTTCATACAGCTGATAAAAACATTGCAATAATCCACAAGCTGTACACACGACTCCGGTCCATTGATTAATATTCTGTGAAGCCAAAGCTGCGTGTTTGTAATAAACAGATCCATCAAGATGTTTTCAGCTTCAAGCTGTTACTTCTGGCTTAAATACGAGTCCTCTATCCATAATATTGCTTTCTCCAGTAAAATGTTGTCTCGTCTGAATCAGGAGAGAAATATGCACAGATCAATCACCATTTACAACAATTCTAAATAATTAGGTCAGTGGATTTTGATGTGAGAGGACAACAGGGACTTTTTCACTGGACACATTATTATGGATTATGGACTGGTTATTTTGGCCTGAAATGACGGTTTAAAGTTAAAAACTTTTTAATGATGAATTTGTTTCTTACTTCACAAGATGTTAATTGATGGACTGGAGTGGTGTGGATTACTTGAGGATTATCTGACAGCACCCATTCACTGCAGATGATCAAGTGATCTTGGATGACCTGAAGGCGAGTAAACTTTCAGCAAATTTTTATTTTTGGATGAACTACTCCTTCTAGTAAATCTAGTCCATCTAGTAAACTCAATAGAGTACTATGGTTGTGTTTAATTTCCTGTCTGAACAAACATTTGACTCTTTAACTGAACTGAATCGGTCTACGATGAACTGCGGAGAACAAATCGAGGGGTGAGAACCAGAAAGGCGTAAGTGACATTTCACCAACTTTACAGGAGAGCCAAAACAAAAATCTTACCATAGTTTGATCTGACTTTGTGTACTGATTTCAATTGTTTATAATAAAAATTTGTACACTCATGGATGACAGTACTTTTGCCAGTAGAAAGAGCTCATTAAGAGCTTTCATATATATATATATATATATATATATATCTCTATTTCACCAAAAATGTCACTTACGCCCTTCTGGTTCTCACCCCTCGAAATGATCAATTTTTGAGAAAATAACTGAGCTGAATGACACAGAATTAAATTTACTATCTCAGGCCATAATCGAGATCAATACATCACAATGTACAAATTACCAACTTATGACATAATTATGCTTTTTTGAATGAGTCTGCATTCAGTAATCTAAATCTGCTTTAAAGTTTGATGATCTGTTCCTTTTTTAATGGCCCGGAGTCAATTGACAAATTGTCGTCTTTAGGCAGCTTAGATCTGGAGTCGCTGAGCAATGAGAAGCATTACCGAATTACACACACACCATTACGTGGCCACTGCCATCACTAACCACCCTCATCAGATCTAAGAAGAGGATTCAGTGACTGTGTAATTGTTTTCCATTCGGTGAATGCTCTCTGCTACCATCTCATTGCGAGAGTTTTCTGACTCAGGTTCTCGCTGTTTTCATCTGCTCAGGCCATTCATAACAAACATTTACCCACAAAAAGACATACAGAGATGTATGAATGTATTGCTGTGGGAATAAGAGAGTGAGAGAGTCTTTGGTTTAGCTAAGAGCTGATTAATAATGGCAGCCTGTGTGAAGATGTTGTCAATTGGGTTTTAAATTACTTGAACAGAGAACGGAATCATAGGCAAACAGACTGATGAAATATAATTGTAATGATTCGTACGCCTTCTCCAAAACCGCTTCTGCTTGTTAATTTAAGGCCCAATCCCAATTCTATTTTATACCCCTTCCCCTTAACAGACCACGTCCCCACCAAAAAAAAATGGTTCTTCTATGCCATTGCTGTGAAAACTCCCTTTTGGAGCCTTTATTTTTTGTATGAGAGTGAGTAAATACTGACAGAACTGTCTTTTTAGATGTTCCTTCAAAACACTGTGTACTTCCATATTGTTTTGTGAAATGATGACATCTGCTGGACACTTGGGAACAAAACATTCCACTAGTTTGGTAATGGGGGGAAAAAACGAACGAAGAAAGCCGGAGACTAATATTTAACAAGAACAGAAAACAAAACAAACCAAAAAAAAAAGCTTATGCCACTTGGAGGCAGCATCAGTCTTGGGTAAACGGAGTGTTTTGTACATGGCTTCAGCTGGTGTGAAAACATGCACTCTGCATTTTGAGCAGACACAAATTGTACAATGCAAAAGACAGAGACAAGTAAACACCGAAAGTTCAATTCCAGCTTGTTACATAATTAGGCTACACCAGTTGCTTTGACATTAGGGTAAAGAGGGCCACTGAAAAGTCATGCACATATCTATTTCTCACAGATAAAAGGTCTGAGAAACCTGCTCTGAGTCTCTATAAAAAGACAAGAGTGCAGTCCTGCGGTCTCGAGTGGCTCGGGGTATATGGACCTGATGGTTCACATTCACAGCTATCACTATTTCTGTACTGATAGAGCATGAGGTTAACACCATGTTCATCATGTGTGAACGCTCTCGTATGTGTCTGTATGTACAAACGGGATCACAAGCTTGACTCTGTATGTATGGGTATGTATTTGTAAGCGTGAGTACGTTTGCACGTGTGCATGAGTGATTTTGTCCATGCACAAGTGTCGTTTCTGTACA